TGATACGATGAATGACGTTACAAATCATGCAAATTACATCCATGTAGGTGATTTGGATATCTTTGATTCAAAGTCGTATTATTTAAGTGAACATCCAAGGATATACATTTTCTCTACTATTGTTGATGGAGACATTGGATTGAACAAATTCGACAATCCAATTGAAAATATTGTTATTTTTAAAAATGTACTTTTGATAAAAGAAAACGATTTTTATGTTCACAACGCAAAAAATATCCAGATACTATCAACTGTCACAAAAATAAATAATATTGCCTTTCCAATTCAATGATTAAAGAATTTGTTGTACCTCAAAGTGTGTGTAAAATTGAATCAAATGAGTTTTCCGGTTTATTGGATTTGACGTCACTTTACATCCCAAAAAGTGTCACAAAATTTTAGAAACGTTGTATTATTGGTTACACCAATTTGAAGTCAATTGTGTTTGAAGATGGTCGTCATTTTGGCATTGAAAAGGAAACTTGAGATCAAGAAAATGTTTGTAATGTGACACTTAATACAGCTAAATTATAAGATAACAACGAGTTTCCACTTAATAGTACCAAAAATAGAAGTCCCATCAACTGTCACAATAATATGTTTTCTATATCTTAAAAATTACACCATTTTACGTGGAATTGTATTGTCAACAACAATTAAAAAAATTGAAAAATTAATCTTTGTTGGGTGCACAAAAATATCATTTTATGATTCTTTTAATGATTCACACAATTTAAATTGTGGTAGTAAAATTAATAAATTCAAAAAGTACTTTTTCGACACTGTTAGTGTAGGTAACATGTTTTTTATCTTCAAATGAAGGCGTTTAAGTACACATCCAACAATGTAAATTTAACATCAAAAGACTTTGAATTGTATGGTAAACAATTGATTTTTAGTGATTAAAAGCATTGGTGATGTTCATAAAAAGTGATTGTAAAGAACATACCCAATTTAAAAAATACATCTCGGAATCTTATTGTGTTGTTACTATAATGTAATACCATCAAAAATTCAAATTATTGAAAACTGTAATTTTGTTCTTGAGTATTTCAAAGATGTTGATATCTCATTGGCAACAAAGAATATTGTTGATCATTGTTTCAGTGATGCGCTATTACTACAAAATGTCATATCAAAAGAAATATTATTTCCAAAGACTTTGAAAACAATTTGAAAATTCACATTCAAAAACTGTGTTTCACTCGAAAGCGTCACACTTCTTAAATCACTTATAACACTCAAAGATGGGTGTTTCATGAATTGTTCTAAGCTTTGTCGTGTCAACTTTGGACACTTAAATATAACATTTAGAAGGTGATGTTTTCGAATGATGCACATCAATTAATTCGTTACCATTTGAAAATTGAAACGTTTTATTTTATGATGGAGAAGTCAGTAACACACTTTATAAACATTTTGAACAAAAACAAATTATTAGTAAGAACATAAAAAAGCAAAGATTTAATAACATTTGTAATTGATATATTAAAAGATGAAAAAATTTGTTGTATTGATGAAGGAGCGTTTTTTAACGACACAAAAATCACAAAAATTGAAATACCAAATAACATCACTCGGATTGAAGACTTTTGTTTTGCTTGTACAACACAACTCGAAAGTGTTGTGTTACCATCATCAATAACATAACTCCCTCCTTTCTGTTTTTATAATTGTGTATCCTTGAAGATTGTTAATTTGGAACATATTAAGAAAATTAAAATGGAGTGCTTTGATAATACAAATTAAAGAATATCATGAAAACAAAAACAAATTGACTTTTTTGATTTAAAAATAATTATTGTTTGTTTGAATTATATGATCAAAAGACTTGATATTTATTCAAATACACTTTAGTTTGTGATAAATTAATTGTAAGGTTATTAACTATTTAAACACTTTTAAAAATAAATAAAAACTCTAATCAAAAAACATTTTTGACGTTAAGAGTGAATTGTTTTACTTCTTTTACATTTTGATTTGCACAAATTAAAACCTTTTGGTTGTTTAAAAAACAAGTTGAATTGATGATATTGTATGTGGATAATATCTGATACAAAGTTAACAAATATCACAAAAAACAATCATTAGTAAAGCTATTTTGGTGAAAAAGATAGTTGTATTTATTTTTTAGAAGTTATATTTCTAATAAATAGGAAGTGGGTTTAAAAATATAAAAACAATGAGTTGTTAATGTTTTTCAAAATTCACGATGTTTCAATAATAAAGAAAGTTAACTATGATATTTATTTTTTCAAATATTATCTGATATTTGTTTTTTAAACAAGTTATTTTTGTAACAATTAATGCTTAAAATACTTTTTATTCTGGGTTTCGCATTTGGGGTGTATTCATATATTAATTCTACAAAACACATAACAATTGTTACTATTACCTTATTTTACACTAAACAAAAAGAGCCCTTGTAATATTTTAATGTGTGATTTTGTAATAAAATGTATCACTAATTTATATATATATTGTTGGTTTTGGTTGGCAATTGGTGAAATAAAAGTATGTGACATGGTGTATTTTTCAATAATATAATTATTAATTTCTTAAATTTTAATTCGTATTATAAATTTACCATCATTTCTTGGTTTTATTTACAATAAGTTCATCTACAGTTGATGTGATACGCTTTGTTAAATTTATTTGGTATGGGATTTAAACTTTATAAAACCTCTGTGTTATTAATTATAAACTTAAAATATGTTGAGTTGATTGTAAATTGGTTGGGATATTAAATGGCAGGCATTACAATAAAACGATGTTTGAATAAATATATTTTGTTTTAAATTTTGAGCAAACCTGAATGTGTGTAAACGTTCTTGTATTTGTTGCATTAACATTTTTTTGAATGATCTAACTGGCAAAAAAAAACATGTAAAAACATTTAAAATGGTTAGAGAAGAGATCTAATGTGAAGAATTAAATTATTAATTGTACAGATTGAAAGAGAATGAAAAATATCAGTTGAAAGAAAAGTAATGTCAATATTTTAAAATTAAAAAATATTTAATGAAAGTTAAAAAATAGTTAAAGTAACTAAAAAGGCAAAAGACGAAAAACACAAAAAATAGAAAAGATCTGAAAACTCCAAAATTGTAACAATAGAAAACGAGTTAAAACTTGTAAAGGGACAATTGGAAAATGCAGAAAGGCGTCAAATAAAACGAAAAAACTAATTCAGAAAAAATGAAAAAATAACAAAGAGTCTCAAAAATGCGTTGTTGAACAACAGAAGGTGGCAGAAGAGCCGTAAAATTACAGTAGAACTACGTAAAAAACGGAGATTAAGAAAATTCGAGAAATAGAAAGTGTGGCCGAACAAAAACTTGCCCAAACTCAAATTTTGCAAGTAACAAAATAAAATTAAACCCGAAAAAGAGCAAAAGAATTTTCTGAAAGTTTGAAAGATGTAATAGAAACAATTGAAATAAGTAAAATCACTACCAAAAAACAAAAAATTAAAGAAAAGAATGAGCAGTTGAAGACTTAAATCATATAAAATAATAAACAAAAAAGAAAAAGAAATTGTTTGTGAAAATCATACAATACAATTATTTGATATACCATTTTTACTTATTAACTTTATTAATAATATCAATTTAATTGATATATTATATGTTACAGTTAGTTTCAAAACAATTAGCAATTTTTCACAACAAATCGATTTATGTTTTACAACAATTATTTTTGTACCTTTAATCAAACCTGTTTCATAAAGAATAATTTTGTATCATATATAATGAATTTGTTGCAATATAATATGAGTTTGTCTCAAAATAAATATTTGTGCCATAATTATTAATTATTGTTTCAAAAAATATAAAATGTTTGCATAAATGGTTTTTATTGTTTATAAACAAATAATTACAAATCAAAATAAATGTGGGTAAATCAAAAACTAAAAATGATTGTATTGTATTACGGCATGGCGGTCAACTCTTTTGAATTTATACATAAAGATGACATTGACCAATTTTGAACGTAGGTTCAACTGTCCAACCGGATGCAAATTTCCCAACCCAAACAATTCAATTTGCAGAGAGAAAAAGCGCTACATATATTTATTTATCACTTATACCACCACCAACTCCTCTAAATACAACCGACTTCTAATTCTATAAACAGGATATCCAAAAGAGTATATATTAAATTCACAGAATCGCAAAGAAAAAAACGACCGAAGAATATGCAGAATATGGAAAGATATTTTTGTCATGAATATTGGAAATAATACATGACAGAAACAAGAATCAAAGAAGCTTCTGTTAAAAGTTTATTGGGAAAGCTTTAAAGGGGCGGAGGACATATCAAAATTCAAGAAATTTGGTTAATGTAACGATATTGGATATGGTGCAAAACGTTTCCAGTTGTTTCGAAAATATTACCCCAGCAGAAATACACAGAGTTATAACACATTTTATTTAGGTGGTAACAAGAAAAGTGTTTACAATGGAAGATTTATAATCGTATTTTCTTTTAATATGTTTATTGTTTATTATTGTAATTATTACTACATTATTATAATAATATATTAAAAGATATATATTAAAACTTCATTTAACTAGTGATTTGTAATTATTTGTTTATAAACAATAAAAACCATTTATGCAAACATTCTATGTTTTTTGAAACAATAATTAATAATTATGGCACAAATATTTATTTTGAGACAAACTCATATTATATTGCAACAAATTCATTATATATGATACAAAATTATTCTTTATGAAACAGGTTTGATTAAAGGTACAAAAATAATTGTTGTAAAACA